TTATAAGAGGCTCAACCCATGTTTGGAAATTATGATCTATCTATAACTCCAAATGTCACTTATAAATAAGATGATAAACCACAACCTAAATTAATTCAATCTTTTTAGGATTTAAAAAATGACCAAATAATGACATAAACTAAACCTATTTTCTTTCCCCTTAAAAAACACATACTAGAAACCAAGGATTTTAAGCTAGCAACTTGTTGAGGTTGGGGGTGTTAGTGTGTGGATTGTTGTAGAGGAAACCTACGTTGATTTTTGGTGCTTTGTTCAGAATCTACTACGAATCCAAAATGTAAACAACTAAACACGATATGGTTTGTTTAGATTCAGTTAATTGTGTCTTGGATCCGTAAATGATTTCTCTTAATTTTTCTACAAAAATAACCTAGTATTATTTTCGTTGCATTTTACAAGATATTGCTTTTAAATGAAACCCTACACCACCCTCCCTATTCCTTTCTCAGTGGACACCGGTCATATAGGGACGGACCTAAGAATTTTTGGATACGGTGGCACCATATAAAAAGGTTGCACCTTCTAGAATAAAACGGTTGCATCTTTCACGAACCTAATTTTTTTTACCTTACCATGGAGGAACTATACGATGACACGTGCCACCTAATCACCCCTCTAAGCCCGTCTATGCGGTCATACCTTTCCCATCATCCCTTCTGGTAATAACTTAATTCTTCGGAAACACCCCCCCCCCCCGTCCCGTCCCGTCCCGTCCCGTCCCGATGTTCCAGATGTTCAAACCTGATTCATATTAGCCCCTCCCTACTATACTTCGTCGTCCCCTTTGACACTTGTATCAAAGCCCCTTGATGGTCCAGATATTCAAAAACTCTAGTTACAATGGTGATGGGTTGAAAGCAAGAACAATGCAACATGCACACTAATGCACGAACAACTTGGATCCAGATCTTCAAAAACTCGAGTCCCCTAGTCCGTATTTTCTTCCTTTCTCTATGGTGCATACACATCATTTTTGTTTTGAGTTTTGTGTTTTTTATTTTGATATTGACCAACCACTTTATTCTATGTTTTAGGTTCAGGTTTTCATCAACCAATACACACATATGGATTTGGGTTGATTTAATTGGCGGAGTTCTGGTTGATTTTTGGTGTATAGGCTTTCAATTTGGGTTGATTTAATTTTTTGAGTGTTGGTGTTTAGGGTTTGAATTTGGGTTGATTTAATTAGTTGAGTTTTGGTGTTTAGGTTCTTGAATTTGGGTTGATTTGATCGATTGAGTTTTGATGTTAAGGGTTTGAATTTTGATGATTAGGGTTTGAATTGTGTTGATTTGGTGTGTAGTGGCCGGAGATGGGGTATTGGCTATAAAGGATTACTGGAGATAGGTATTGGCTGGAGGGAATAACCGAAGATGGGTGAGGAGAGTCATGTTGTTGGATCCCAGATTTCTCAATTTCGATAATGATTTAGAATAATATTGCAGAAGCACAAATATGATCAATGACAAATAGACAAATAGAAGATTGAGAGGGATTTCATCAGGAATTCAAATCATCTGTATATTGATAAGAACATCAAGATTACACTTGAGGATTACATTTGAAGCTTTATAGGAAATAATTCACTCAAAGTGTTTACAAGGGATAGCTAAGCTTAGAGTGTAACATCCTCAAATTTGGAAAGAGCGACTGATTTAGAATTTCCAGTAAACCATCAAATAAAGATTAAAGTCCTTATCTCAAAGTCAGTATTTGATCACATACAATGGCAATCTAAAGTTTTAACATCAATAAACAATATTCCAAACTTTGCACAAGTCTATAATTAAAGACGGGTGCTTCTAAAACCCAGTAGTTGTTGCCATCTCCAAAGTACGGAAGATGTCTCTAATTTGCTAATCACTTCTCGTGCCTCTAACTAGCACTCATCTTATCACACTGTCACTAGTACCATTTCCCCAAGAATCTGATGCACATGCCGATAAAGAAAAAAGTTAGGCTTAACGCTTAGTGAGTTCAAACAGGTTTCATCGGTTATATAAAATGGTCAAAATGGAAAGAAGGTTATCTAAATCACAATTTCCAAGATGAAATGTATATAGAATAGAAACGGTATCTTTCCTAAAACCCCTCATTTTCGTGATGAAACACATTAATCAAAACACCCATTAAACATAAAACCAAAACTCAATACTCACTGAAAAATACGAATAAGGATTATTATCCAAATACAGAAAAATGGATAAAACTCTATTATTCAAAACATTAATACATGGAGGAGATCCAATATACCAAAATCATAAATTATGATTACTCTCCAAACCCAAACAATATTAAAAATATGAATAATACACTATCTAAGAATAACACCTAACAGTGATGGGGGAGGCCCTTATCCGTCTAATATGGCGATCATAAAGTAAGCCCTACATCAACGTTATTGAACTACACCTCAGATCCATTGAATTTAGTGCACACTGTATCGAGTGTCACCTCAAGTCCTCAATACCTTTAGTGCACACCCTACCTGGCGTCACCTCAAGGTCATAGTACCTTTAGTGCACAGGCCTCACTAGGCTTCACTTCAAGGATACCTGATCTTAGTGCTCATTCGCTCTCTGGTAGAGTTCCAACCTCAAGGTTCCATTCGACCTTAGTGTTTATTCACTAGCATTTAAGATAGGAACCTCAAAACTTTCTACTTGATAACTCTAACCCTCATGCATATGGCTTAAAGCATCAAAAACATAATACTCACGGTCCTCGAGTTCGACTCATAAGAACTCACCTCCACGATACCGAGATGACCATGGTGCTTACAGAAGCATTGGTCACAAGGTGAGGACATCAAGACTTGTCACTCCTCAAACACTATCGAGTTATATACATATGAATCCATTGCATTATAGTCTAACTTATATAAGCCCAAATGAATGACCACACACTTAAAACATGTAACATTTAAAATAAATGCCATAATTGCATATAACTCCAAAGGCTCGATATAGAGCAAAATAAACTGGACAAAAGTCCCCATGACTCATCTGAGTCAAAACCGAGCAACTAGCTCGATAACACAATTGACTATACCATAGAAGTCATCATAAGCGATAAAACATACTTCACCAATGTTTATGCAAATACATGCTCCAAATACATGATTAACTCCATCATTGGTTGAGACAAATCATTTTCCATTTTAAATCATACACTGTATATTTCCAAAATGTCCCGTAACACAACAATATGCATTTTCCAAACTAAATACACTAAAAATGCATTTTATCAACAAATACTCTTCATTTATAAAATCGACCTTCAAATGAACCCACACTTATGATTATTTATCAAAATGTCCAAAAGTCCCAAGTATTGATATTTCACAAGATTTATAACCCAAATATCTCAAATATGAAAACTTCACCAACTACTAAACACATTTGATAAAATATCAAGTAAAACACATTAATACTTCAAAACACATACTTTAGCATGTACATAGTTTTCATAAAGAAACTTGAACTTACCTTGTTAGATTTATGCTAAATCTAGGTTTTATCCAATCTTGAGCTTCCTTTGAAAAAATTGAGATCCATCAACAAATCTTCCAAATCCTAGCTCCAAAGCTTCTGAAAAGATATTTTCTACTTCAAGGAACCCAAAACATAAGATGAAGACGGAAGAAGAGGATAGAAGATGAAGAATACATAAAGCCCTAGTTTTGAGAGGAAGTAGATGAAGATGTTACCTTTCTCAAATACTCTTGGATCCCCAATAAAATTTAATCCTCTTGATCTACTCTTGAAGGGCTACAAAAACCGAGACTATAGCAACAAAAATCTTCCAAAACAGAGTTGAAATGAAGGAGATATGAGATAATGAAGAAAACCTCAAGAAAAATCGGCTTAAAAGCTAATATGGGCACGAATGCAGGTTTCATGCAGGTAAAGTCGCATGAAAGTCACCCTTATCCAAAAAATTCCAGAAAGTCGCATGAAAGTCACCCTTATCCAAAAAATTCCAGAAAGTCGCATGAAGGTCGCAAGAAAGTCACATTAGTCAGTGGTTGGGTGATTTCTTCGTTTTTCAAGCCCGAAACAATCTCCAACCATCCTTATATGATAATTATATAAAACCTTCATAGTTATCATCCTTAACACCATTCAATAACGTGATTAATCATAAATGGAATCCCAAACATTGTGAGTGTTACATTGAGTTCTTCAAAGATCGATACTATTACAAGGAATGAAAGATCCATTTATAGGACTAAAAGAGAAAAGTCAAGACACCATGCATCTAATGTGAGGTTTCTACGTGTAAATGTGCTTTAACAAACTTTGGGCAGGAACAATTGTAGCTCAAATCTTTAATCATTCAAACCAGAAATAAGTGTTAGAGTCCAGAGGGAGGACTTCCGAGAAAGTCAGGTCTCTGAATGACTTGGACAGAGAGCTCTTGAAGTATCTTTGGAGTAGCATATCAGAGACTCAACATGTAGAAACTTTATGGTTTCTTTTACGAAAATTTTACAATGAGAATTGGGCTAACACGTGTGTTTCAATGTTTTAAGGAGTTTTACATATAGAGTTGTACAATAAAAATATTAAACAAAAGGATAAAATGACAAAAAACACCCCTAATTTAACGAAATTCTTTAACGGAAGTTAGAACAAGGGATCTGATCTGTGATGAAAATTAAACCACGAAGACTCTCTAGTCATGAATTTTAGGATTAAAAGACTTTTTGTAATCAACCTAAAACCATAGGGACGAAATTAGTAATTTACTCAAATAAAATATTTTGGATTATAAAGAAGACTAGAACAGGTTGTATGGAAAAGACAAAACTAAAGTGGGACAATTTAAAACTTTGGAGAGGGGGAGAGTGATAAAGAGGGAGGCATCGCTATGTTCGTAAAACAATACTGTCGATCTTATTACTTTATTTTCAAATGAAAAAAAAAGTGGACAAAAGCACTTGAAATTGATGTTGCTGCCTCTTTGTTCCGCAAACTTTCACAAAGTTTGACCAAATCCTTTTATTGCATCGATTGATTTCAAATACCATCTTTCTGCATCTTCCATTTGTTTCGTTCGAAAGTCTAAAACTTCCCCTTTCTTTATTCGAAAACCCCATTTCAGTTTTCGTTTAAATCATAAAACCCATGTTGTAATCCGTTTGAATTCGAAAACCCATTTCGAATATGCAGATTTCTTGAATTTTGTTGTTTGGATTACTGAGAAATCAGATGGTTGGGATTGGAGGTGCAAAGGTGATTACAAGGAAGGCTTGTTCAAGGTTACTTGTAGATATCACTTGTAGATTGGGCACTTCTTCCTTCAGAGGTCTTCAATCTTCAATGTCCTCTGCTACTTCCTCTTCTTCACTCTCTATCCCTCGTTCGTTGCCAAATTCCCCCTTTTCTGGTCTTGTTATTTGTGTCACTGGACTATCCAAAGGTATCTCTATTTTATTTAAATTTATCATTTGCTCATATCTCTATTCTTCTTTTCAAGTATGTAATGTTCTTTCTGTGTTTTACATTTTGCTTTGAGAATTTGAATATTTGTGAATATACTATGAATCTTTGATATTTGGCTATATATTTGCTTCTTTTTCCTATAATTTAGACCTTTTAGGTCAAAAGGATTAATCCCTTTTCAAATCTTATACTATACTTTAAATGTTGGTACGTGGGTATTGATAAATCATTTCTATGTAATTTGACGTAATCCTTTGCTTTCCTCTAAACCAGCAAAGATGTGTGATAATGTTGAATCTTACAAGGACTTGTTTGATTAAAATAGTCGAAATGTTTCAGTGATTAGAACATTAAATATGGATACTAATTCAATTAATTTCATTTTCCATTTTGATTCTTTGATCATGAGTTAGAACAAGTTCTGCTTGTCATATGAGTAACTTTCTGTATAATTTGCCTCATGATCTTTGATTTACAGAAGCAAGGAAACAAGTGATGGATGCAACAGAGAGATTGGGTGGTGAATATAGTCCCCATTTGCATCCTCGTTGTACCCATTTGGTGGTCCAGATATCCTTTTCTTTCTTTTGTCATCTTGATGTTGATGTTATCTTCTGATTACCTTTGATTTTTTGTAGCTGCATTAAGGAAATTACGGTTTTCGTTTTACGTATATAAATTCCCAGACCCTACATTCGTTTGGTTTATTTACAGATATAAATGCTGGCAAATTTTGGATTAGAATGGATTCTAGCACCTTATTATGGGGCAAAGTTTCTCCTATAATTTGTATCTATTAAGTGCAACTTGTATCTACTAACCCCATTTTTGAAAAACGGAAGATTTTGATTTTTTAGTTGAAACCTTTTGCTTTTGAAATTTAAATTTGATATGGCTTCCTATACAAACTTAACACGAATTGTTTAATATCTTCTGTACATCTTCTGAAATGTAAGGTGGTTGTTGGATCTCCTTGAAGATGTAAAGAGTTCACATCAGTCTTAGAGTCGGTTCTTAGTTAGTTTGACCCCAAAAGTCAAAATGTATATCTTTTCTTGACTTGAAGGACTGCGTGTTATTGTGGATCACTTAACGCAGTCTTACAGCTCTGGTGGACGCAAGTATGAGCATGCATTGAAGCATGGCGCCTCGAATGGTCTCTTTATTGTTACGCTTGGATGGTTTGTGGATAGCGTTAGAAGAAATGGTAAAAGTTTGTAGCTTTTAAAGTTTAACATGTTTAAACTTGGAGTCACTCCATCCATAATGATGTAAAAACGAACATGGCGATTCCAAAAATATATAATACCCTTCTATTAAGATGATCTTTTTCTTATATTTTGGTCAGTGAGATTGAGTGAAGCGCTTTACGTTGTAAAACATCTTCAAGAAAATCATATGCCCAAGGATGATCTGAATGTGCTTGCTAGTGGGAATTCATGTCTTCCTGTTGCCATGCTCGAAAATGCCAAACAACCCAACATGATTGAGAAATCCCAATTATTCTCATCATCAGAAGAGCTTAAAAGACGAGGTTCCATTTTTTCGGGTCAATCATTTTATGTTGATGCAGAAGTTTCTGCTGAGCTGCAGAATAAGGTACAGTTGACATTCCGCTTTCAGACAATTTTATCGTTCTTTTTCAGTTTGAACATTAGAAATCCACATTTGATTGATGAGGAGTTTAAGACATCTAATGTGTATATGAATGAAACTAGCATCTTAAATTCATTTGCAATACCTAAAAAGGACGATTACGGAGCAATATAGAATGAGTTTGACTTATATCAATGAAATTTTGTTCCAGTAGGTTGCTGAGGCAGCTTTCGGACAAGGGGCTTCACTAGCGGACCAATGGTTGCCTGGTCACAATGCCAGTCATGTGGTATGCGAAGAGTCTTCGGTTCAAAAGTATCTTGGTCACTCCAATTATCTTGTTACAGTAAGTCAAGATTTAAGCTTCTTTTAAAATCTCCCCCTCACCGAATACAGACTCGCACATAAAGGAGAAAACGGAAAGTGAATTTCTATTGTTTGTGTTCTACTAAGGCCATGTTTGGCAACCATAAGCCAACTTATATTTTGAGCTTATTGAAAAACTCTGTTTGGTAAGCCATAAACTAGCTTATATAAGCTAGCTTTTTTCCCATTATGCATCTAATATTTTTCCAATAAAATTTTCAATACGGTCTTATTTAGGTCATTTTAACATTGTCATCTAGCTTATCAGCTAGTTAACAGCTAGCTTGTCAAATATATTATAGCCTAATTAGACATGATGTACCTCAGCCCCTATGGGTTCTGAAGACTGTGAAGGAGACAAGGCCACAGAGGCTCGTTCATTTGTCTGCTGACTTGGCACGTCAGATTGGAATGATGCTTGATAATGTTGAAGGTGGCGCTGATCAAAAGGTATATATACAAATTCTGTCAAGAAAGTCTTGTTGAATCATAATGTTTCAGAACCTATGTTTAATATGCTCCCTAACTTAGGCACGAAAAACTCGTTGTCTACCGTGTGAGGAAAAAGAGTACATTGGTCATAAATGATCAAGTTTCTTCTTTTTGGTTTGTGAGAATATGTAGAACCCTCGCTAGATTACTTTCCAAAAGAGCCCTTGAGGAGGGAACAGAGGTTCAAACATATATTAAGGAGAAATGGTCAAAGTCTAGCCGATATGGGACCCTAACATTGTGTGTTTATACCATGTCCCTCCATTTTGCAGATCCCGTCCTCTTTATCTCCTCAAGTAAATGAACCAGCAATCTTGTTTTCATTTCTCATCCCAAGTTATAACTAGGACGCCCAAAGTGGTAAAAGTAGAACCGGTGAAACCAACGTGTTTACGCCGTATGAAATTTTAATTTCATGGATACTATTTGTATGAGCGAAAATGTGATTGTGGGTCCATTTACTTGAAGTAGGCAAATAATGAGATGGCGCTCACGAAATAGAGGATGAGAAATAGAGGAAAATGGTATGCATGAACGTAACCTTCATACTAAATACGTGGAAGCTTGGGAGTAGGAAGTAGATAGTATTGAAATAGTATTTGTACCACATCAGCAGGTTGTCAAGATGGGTGTACATATTTAATTCGTTTGGGCATCCTTCTTTTAGCAGGCCTTTGGATGTGAGTTCTACCCAAACCCATTTATCATGGTATCAGAGCAGACTTTCAAGCAACGTGGGATTGCATTTGTTTGGTTGTCAAGATTGGTATATGTATATATTTGTTTGGCTGACGAATTTGTTCTTAACTTTTAGGATAGTTATGGGGCGAATGATTCTCAAGATGCATCAAGTCTTAGAATCAACTCAAACCATGAAGAGAATCAAAATAAAGCAAACCTTGCCAAGAAAGGTGTTAGAAATCGCCGGGGTCGCCAGATGCAGGTAATATCCAATTCATCGTATCCGGAAATGCATCAATTGGTTACTCTATGAATCAAATATTCATTCTGAATAAAATTCGGCAATGATCACAGACATGTCAAGCACCAATAAAACCATTAACCCCAAGCATCCTTCTCGATTCAATCTGCTGGTCTATCTCTGAACCATCGTCAAGTGCTTCCATCTACACAGATTCCTTCAGTTTTGAGGATGCCAAAACGTCTACTTTCGTGGATGCAAGTGAAGATGGGAAAGAATCCAATGCTTCTTTTGTCAACTTCTCACGACCACTTTCAGAAACGTAATTAATAACCTTTTCTTTATTCAATATGCATTTGCATTCTTCGTGTTATTCGTTTCTTGTTTGGTATTTTTGTGGGCAGGGAGAAGAATGATTTGATCTTCAAGAACCATTTCCTTACCATACTGTTCCCAGTGGACCGTTTCTCAGAGATGGGCCCTTGTTCAAGGACGTTTTTTAGCGATTCAGGGTTCACATGTTTGCAGCTGTTAGATCACATCTATGCGTTTTATCAGGTGAATAAACTGTTTCATTGAACACCATTTTATGCTCATTGATCTTAAGGCCATGTTTGGCAACCATGAACTAACTTATTTTTTGAGTTTATCGAAAAAATCCAGTTTGGTTAAGCCATAAACTAGCTTTTAAAGAAAAGCTACTTCAAGCAGTGTTTCAGTAAGTTCCAGAAGCTTTTTCTCAGTCATGCCCCTTGTGTTTTCCCAGTTAATTTTTAACTTGTCATTTTACATTGTCATCTAGCTTATCAGTTAGTTTTACCAAACATGACTACTTTATCAAATAATAGCTTGCTTATCAACTAGTTTTTTTTTTTTTTTACCAAACATGACTAATAACTAACTAATCAACTAGTTACATAACCTAAATGTTAACCTATAATTTTTGTTGATGGTATAGGAGAACATGTCGAAATTGGAGATTGAGTTGGCCATTCATACCGATTCAAGACATGCTGATAGGCTGCGATCAGTTTACGCAAGCAAAGAAGCTGCAGAGCATGGGTACGTGGAAGTCAAGCGAATTGAGTTCTTAGGGAGTCGTAAAAGCTTAGAAATGCTGAAGCGTGTTCCCGGGGATAACAATAGTAATGTCTACGAGTTGTTGACCCGAGCCTAATGCCACCATGATAAGTGGTTCCGCAAACCTCTTGTTGTCGGTTTAACCAGCTTTTCTCATGTTGCCATGCCCATTTATGAAGGAGAGGTGTCTTCATCAAGTCAAGTTTTGCCTATTTTCCTTTTGGTTTGTAAAAAATTGTGGCTTTGTATCATGGTTTTTTTAAAATCTTGTTGTAGATGTAGATGAGACATTAATGGCCTATTAGAAGTTTTGACGACCCGTGGTGAGTCAGTTACATGGACGTTCCAATCTTTTTGGACGTACTGTTATATTTAAATCTTTTGATTACACTGTAAAAATGAGATAACAGATTTACATACATGTTATACACAGAAACGGTCTAAACCTAAACAATTAGCATTCTGAACCTAAAGCTAAACCTAAACGTTAACAATTTGAACCTAAATAATTAACTACATAATAATTTGAACCTAATTACACAGAAACAACGGCCTTTAAAGAAATCAAAAATGATTCCATAGCAATTATCTAGAGAAACTCGAAGGGAGTAAGCATAAAACAAATCGACCTGCTGTACTTGTGGGGAGTATGAAAATATGAAATTGTTGAGTATCCATGACTAGGGCCTAGGTATGAAATTTTGTTTTCTCGAGCCTTTGGGGAGTTCAATCGTTGACTCACGAACAAAAGATGATTGAAGAGGGAACGGCAAATTAGAGAAGCGATGATGTAGGCGTATTAATGTTGGTCCATCACTCTGCTGTCTTCTGCTAGAAATTAGACGAGTGATAACTTTACACAAGTTGATGAAAGGGCCCTAAACATATGTAAAATTGTGTCCTAAATTTTGAGGACGCTATTCTAAATATTGCATTTAACATATTAAGGAACAACCAATGCAAAAAATGAGTCCTTGATAAGTATGAAGAAATTAAAACAAATGCTTTTATTATAAAAAAATAAATTAAATTACAGTTAATACTAATAATTCATATAAAATAGTTTATATAGTTATTTTACATGTTTTATTTAAATATTTGTCACACTATACCATTTTTAATCAACAGTTTATATAGTTATATATTATTAGTTTATCAAAATTCACAATTATATTTTCTGAAATAATGTTAAAATACAAAAATATATAGTAAAAAAGACTAAATGCATAAATAACAAAAACATACTTTTATTTCGATATATAATATAACATTATAACAATATAATCTATACTATATTATAAAGCATATGACAAAAACTCTTAAAAATCATTTCTTATGCATGAAATACTGTATATTAATGCACATTACTTAAAATATAAAATTACAAGTAAATTATGCATAAGTACAATTTATTAAAACTCTATTTCTTAATTCGTATAACTAATTGCGGATAAATATAATCAAATAGAGGATAAACATCTCATTTTAAATATTAAAAATCTAAAATATAATTAAGATAACCATTGAGTTCTAACATAATACTAAGTTATTATCTTTATAAAAATTATATTATCAAACTAAAAATAAATTACTTCATCATTAAACCTAAATTAAAATACAATAAAAATGAATTAAATAAATTACAAAAGAAAATGAAAAATTTTATATATTTTTTAATTTTTATGATAACTTCAAATTTACATTTTATTAAGAAAAACATTATTATTTGCTCAAAACCACATAAATTCGTATTATAACATCGACAGAGACCAAAAACACAAAACAAAACAAAACATTAAAATCGAGATATATATCGCTGCATTGCGCGAGTACTTTTCTAGTATAATATAACGATTAAATTATATTACAACAAAGTCAAACTTCAATAATAATTCAAAGTATAGAAGCTTTTAGAAGTTGTTTGAAAGTTGGTTGATAAAGAGCCAATAGAATTAGCAGGGACGAAGTGAATGGGATTGCTTCTTGCTTTAAGCATCTGCAATGGGCTTGAATTTGATATGGATGATGCCTCATCATATCTATGCCGCAAATGCAACGACACTGTACATTCCGACGTTCTACCTCCGCCACCTTCTTTCTCTAATGTTAATGTTACTCCTCATCATTGTTATAGCACCATTGCCTCCTCTTCACAATCACCATGGGTTCTCTTAAGTTGCACTGTCATTTCCCGAAACGACTTGCTGTTTGGAAAATCCATTCACGCTGTCGTCATAACACATGATACACAATATCCGACTGCTTCCTCACCAATAATCTCATCAATATGTATTCCAAATGCGGTTCTGTAAGTAGAAAATTGGATCAGATCACAAAAACACACTCACGAGAACAGTTAATGGAGAAGAAGAAATGGGGCAAAGTTTTCTCTCTAACATTTCTGCACACACTAAAAAAACAGAGTGAACTCCTTAAATAAACTAACACCAAAGAAAATGGGAAACAAACTTCCACGTTTCAACTAAGCTAAATACTAGGAAATAACTGGCCAACATGGCCTTTGATTCAGACAACTAAAACATGCAAAACAAACAAACAACCAACGGCTTAGATTTTGAATTATGCCAACACTTTCCCTCCTAATTTAGAATATGATATGCTCTTAACTCCTAGTAGCTTTCTCATCTCTATAAACTGAATTCGAGGTAACGGTTTCGTGAGAATGCCATCCCTTTGTTCCTTGCTGCAAACATGCTTAATAACCACATCCCCACGTTCAACACTCTCTCTTATAAAATGATACCTCAAGTCGATATGCTTTCTCCTTCCATGGAATACCGGGTTTTTGATCAGATCTATAGTTGATTAGTTATCTAAATAGAGCGTGAGAGGACCAACTTTCTTCCCGGTTATCTCGTGCATCAACCGGCTAACCCAAATACCTTGACACGTTGCGGTTGTTGCAGCCATAAACTCAGCTTCGCATGAGGACAGCGCCACACATTGTTGTTTTTTTGAACCCCAAGTAATCAAGTTTTCATCCAAGTAAAATGCCATTCCACTTGTACTCTGTCTATCTTCCACGTCTCTCGCATGATTACTATCAGAATATCCTGTGATTGCATCACCTTTATAATACTTGGTATACACGAGACCATTGTCAATTGTTCCTCTAACGTACCGCAAGATCCTCTTCACTGCTTGCATATGTTTTACTGTAGGTTTCTCCATGAATCTGCTCACAATTCCGACAACATATGCAATGTCGGGTCGGGTGTGTGTGAGGTACCTTAAGCCTCCGATAATGCTTTGAAACAGTGTCGGATCAACCGGAACTCCTCCTTCATCCTTCGTAAGCTCCTCTTTGTGTTCCATAGAAAATTGTGATGGATTGCATTATGCCATTCCAGCCTTTGTGAGAACATTTCTTGCATAACCCGTTTGTTTCAGCGTGATACCATCTTCATGTTGAGTCACTTTGATTCCCAAGTAATATGAGAGTAAACCAAGGTCGCTCATCTCGAATTCTTTATTCATTTGTTGCTTAAAATGCTTGACATCACCATCACAATTTCCTGTGACAATTAAATCATCAACATAAACACCAACTATTAGGACATTACCATGTTGTTTTCTTGTGTACACAACATGTTCCAGCCCACATCTCATGAAGTTCAACCCTTTTAGACATTTATCAAGCCTTGAATTCCAAGCTCTAGGGGCTTGTCGAAGCCCATAGAGTGCCTTCGATAGCTTATACACCTTATCAGGGCATTTATCGTTGACAAAACCTTTCGGTTGTAAAACAAAAACTTCCTCGTTCAAAGTGCCATTAAGAAACGCTGACTTCACGTCTAAATGGTGTACTTTCCATCCATGTGAACTCGAGAGGGCTAAGATGATCTGAATGGTTTCTAGGCGAGCCACCGGTGCAAACACCTCATCAAAATCGACCCCAAGCTTTTGGACGTACCCTTTAGCAACTAGTCTCGCCTTATATTTCAAAATTTTACCACTTGGATCCCGTTTCAGCTTGTTACCCATTTAAGTCCAATGGGTTTTTAACCTGCAGGTAGATCAACTAGACTCCAGGTTTGATTTCTTTCAGTTGCATCTAACTCAGTCTTCATTGCCTTTACCCATTCTCGATCTTTAGCAGCCACCGAATACGTTGTGGGTTCATCTACATCTTGCATGTACATGAGTTGATCGGGGTCCACTTCTATCTGATCGGTTGCCTCATATATCTCAGCAAGGCTCCTATACCTTTTAGGTGCTCTGCCTCCCGTTGAGCTTGATGCGATACTAGACGAATCCACTGAGGTAACATGAGAATCAACTGGGAACGGTCCATCATGACCAGCATGTAATTGAGGTTCACTAAGGGACTGATTTTGAGGAGTTGCAGGGGTTTCTTGATCACCCAATGTTTCGAAATTAGTGAGTGGCTCAACTAGATCACCACTTTCGGCTCCTACGCTTTCACCTTCGTAACCTTCAATAGTCAATGTGTTAGTTGGACTTTCTTTAAACCTTCCTGTTTTAGCCCATGGCCACGCTTCATCTTCATCAAACTCAACATCCCGGCTAACCCGAACTCTACTGGTGACTGGATCAAGTAGACGATAAGCCTTGCTGCCCATTTCCATTCCCAAATGTACTAGCGTTTCGCTCCTGCTATCAAGTTTTCGTAGATGATCTTTTGATACCTTAGAGTGTGCCATACACCCAAACACTCTAACGTGACCGATATTTGGTTTTCTTCTAGACCAAACTTCATATGGAGTCGTATCACCAAGAGCCTTTGTAGTGACTCGGTTTAGAACGTAGACAGCTTGGCGAACTGCTTCACCCCACAACGAATCGTGCACATTCATACATTTCATCATACTTCTTTCCATCTCAATCACCGTTCTATTTCGCCGTTCCACAACACTGTTTTGTTGCGGTGAATAAGGTGCCGTGAATTGGTGTTTGATGCCCATTTCATCACAATAAGCTGTAAAGACTTTCGAGAGGAATTCACCTCCTCGATCGGTTCGCACGATTTTAATCTTGTTACATGTTTCATTTTCAACCTATACACGAAATTTCTGGAAAACTCCAAATGCCTCATCCTTTGTTTTTAGCAAATAAATCCACATTACACGGCTAAAATCATCTACCAATAGCATAAAATAATGATTTCCGGATGGTGTAGCCGGTGAGATCGGACCACAAAGGTCAGCGTGAATGAGTTACAGCCTTGCTTGAGTCCTATATTTGCCTGTGACGAGTACGGTTTTCGTGTCTGCTTGCCCTCCAAACAGCCCTTACAAGACCTCGTAGATTGCTCAACTTTTGGAAGCCCATGCACCAAGTTCTTTTCATACATTCCTTT